ATATCATTCCGTAATCGCTTGAGATCTAAACACAACACACAGTGTTGCGCGTCAAGAATTGTCGTGTAATCAAATATGGACTTTGTGCGTTTTAGTTGGCATGCGCTTTTTTATCATCGAGTACCTGCCGAGCAACTCTATCCGGTGTGATAACACACTTTGATCCGTTGAAGTTTTTTTCGGTTCCATTAAATACAAAAAAACAAATTTAGTTTAAAATGATACACAAATTTTCTTGAAAAACTGACGTGTTATCTAAAAACGAATATAAATCAACGAAATATAACTTTTTCTCCGATATTATTTTATGTAATCAAATTATCTCTCGTCTCTTGAAATTATATACTTAAATATATAAAATATACGTATAAAATATGTACACAAATAAATAACTTTTATTACAGAAGTTTTGGTTTGTTTATAAAAAGAAAAGAATATTTGTTGTATATTACATTATAGTTATTGGGTCCAGTTAACAACAATATAAACAAAAGACATTTGTGTGAGTGTGTAAAAGAGAGAGAAAATTATATACTTATATAATTATATAATTATATAAATTATATAACTTATATAAAATTAAAAAAAATAAATAAATAAATACGTATAAAAATGTACCATTCGAATGAGAATGATTGTTGCCACTTTAGCAACAATCATTTTAGATAAGCACGTAAAAAAAACACAAAATGTAGTAATGAAAGCAAGAGAATCTATTTTTGTACAGCAAGTGTCTTCGCTTCATTTTTATTCACACGAGTCATTACGCCTCGTCTTATACTAGCTATTTTTTTTTTTTTTTTTTTTCTACTACATTTCGTTCAATATATTCCGGACCTAGTAACCTCTCGGAGATACGCGATATACCGAGGTAAACAAGACATTTTACCAGATCGTGAAGAAGTCTCTCAAATCTTTCCGATGATTAGAAATTCAATGCGCGCACACGCTATAAAGACGGCGCATCGCCGAATATGTGGACTCTCTCGGCCGTGTGTGCGAGAGAAGTTCGAAGATATATTTCTCTTCCTCTTTCTGTTTCTCCGCCCGCTAAACCGACTGCAAATCGTTGTGCCGCCGAGTGTCAGCGTTTCGGGTCATCGTGCGTGGATTTCTGTGGATTTGCATAGCCACGAGATGCGACACTTGCGACCGCAGCAGCGCTTTGTGAGGCTGCGACGCGGGGGTTACGCGGGAGGCCGCGTGCGGCGGTGTATCTCGCATATTATTATTGTTGCGCGTTGCGTAGGTCTAGGTTTCCAGCGAGGTCTTTGAGATCTCTGACGTGATAAACCGGCTCCTCCTTACGCGATGAGAGGCGAGATACCGAAACTCGCGCGCGCGCGTCACAATGGACAAGAAACGACTTGGCGCGTTTTTTACACACCGCAACTTTTCCCACACGTCATTCGGCGGAGAAAAATAATTCGCATACGAACGTGCACTCGCGCCGCGGTTGACAAACTGTTTTATTTTTTAGCGTTTCTTGCGGTAAAAAAAACGCTAAAGAGCGTATATATATGTATATATGATGAATATGAAATACTATCCGATGCAAATTAGAAGAGCACCGCGTGAAGTGTGCACATTATGTTGTAATTCGGTGTTCCGTGTGGAAAATTTATTATATTAGAAGACGGTTGCACGTTTGAACTTTTCGCGAACTTTTCTCGATGATACACGATTTCTCGATTCCGAGAAAAGAGATATAGTTATAAGATCAATCTTGCTACCCTTCTATTCTCGACAACTCGGGACCGGAAGTTCCCCTATCATCTATTGGTGTGCTTTCTTCTTTCCCAATGAATAGGGAACGAGAGAGAAATTTTGTCAATAAAATACGGAAGCGAATAACGGAGAGGGGTTCGACTGTGTGTTTTCACAACGTCGAGTATTGAATAATTAGATTTTCCGGCAAATGGAGGTAAAATGTGTTTTCGCTAACGTAATTAAAAGAGCTACGTGTAAGGGGGTGTATCTTACGGCGAGCAAACCGGAGAACGTTACCTGCGCCAATTCATCAACTCGATTTTACAACAAAACAACTGATGTTGTTATCAAAAAGTAATGACGTTCTGTTTATTCAGAGCGAATGTGATTACCTTGTCTCATTGAAAATTACCTCACACAGTAATATTAAAAAATAATACATATGTATATATAATAATAATAAAAATATTAATATATAAAACTACTCTAATATATATATATATATATATATATATATATATATATATATGTAAAATTAAATAATCAATTTTTTACCGTGCGCACACACACATTTACACGCGCGCACACGTACACATTAATTACACACGTGTAACTCTTTCAATTTTGCAACGTGCATTTAATATAAATTGATTGTCGCGATATTAGTTAATTTTTTCCTATAAAATCCATCAAATCCAATCGTTGTTATTTTTTTTTAAATAAAATATACCTGAAAAAAATAATATCGACGATGTCGCGCAGACTTCTGCATTATCGGTCGCGGTTTTGCCGAAGACAAGGTCAATCCGCACCGCAGATGGCGGTACGTAACAGCACGAGCACGCGTTGTGTGCAAAGAACTATCACATCGCGTACATTTTCTAATGTTTAACAAGACACACACCACGAGTCCACACGATAGGGGTTCAATATCTCAAAGACGTCACGCTGCGCGCTTTTTTATCAGCTTAATACATGCAAATTTGCAACGATAATTTTCACCGTCGCGAACACATTTCCTCGTACACTATAACACACATTGTGTAATATAAACATAACTCTCTGCGAAAATGTCCTTGTGTAACAAACAACATGTAACTTTGCAAACGTGTTGTTTTGATTTTCCATTGAACATTTTCATGCGTCATTTGCAACCGCACCGCCGATCGATCGGCGTAAATCCGCGGTATAATTAATGATGCGCCACTATACGACAATATAAGAATCATAAAATAAATCCGACGAGACGGAGAAATAATATCTTTTAGTCTCGCAAAAAGAGCGAGAGAAAGAGAGAGAAAAAAAGATAGGTAGGTTACATGCTGATAATACCTTTGTCCTGTACGTCGCACGAGTCCTTTGACACAAATTCGATTTTTGCGAGCGTAAAAAAACTCTATGGTTTCAAGTTGAATCACTGACAAAAAAAAAGACACTTTATTTATAAAACTCTCGGCAGCACATTCGATGGTTTGCCACTGACCGATCAAGGGCCACAGTCGAACCGAAATAAAAGACCTAGTTAAGGTAGTTTTTTTTCGACAATGCAATCCAGTTCGACGAAGGGACTAGAACCGGAAAAAAAATAAACTCAAATATTTCCGGAATGTTCTATAATTTTCTGACCATCGATTTTTCTTACAGACCATATGTATAATCCGTGAGCACCGTGAGGTCAACGTGTTGCGAAAAGCTTATGCGTATAATATACTATATATATATATATATTCGGTATATATATATATATACCGGTATATAGATATATATATATACCGGTATATAGATATATATATATATATATATATTTGATATATATATATTCACAGCAACATTATTGTACAGTTCGATATATATATATATATATACCGGATATATATATATATACCGGACTGTACAATAATGTTGCTGTGAATATATATATATATATATACCGAATAACAAAACAAATACGTTAAGAAAATTATATTATACGTACGCATAAGCTTTTATATATACATATATATATGTATATGAATCAGTTTTCAATATAAAATAAAAAAAACCACGTTACGAAACGAGCTTAAAAAAAAAAGTTGTTTAAATAATAAAAATACACACTTTATACGCTGAAAAATAAATATTCCGAGAAACCGCATAAATATATCGAAGTTATTACCGATCTGTATGTTAAATTATTGCGTAATTACAGCGCTGACGAATGCCATCGAGGGAATAATTATTAAACGATTATTAATCATTGGTACACGCGGCAACAAACACAGTGACGAACAGCAGTATCTTTGCTGTCTTGTCAAAAAAAAAAGAAAAAAAAAAAAAATCGAATCTTCCAAGCATTAAATGTTTTTTCCATCGTCGAATTTTTTCTCACACGTGACATTATACGACTGGCACGGGAGTTTACAGCGCGTTTCGTTAGCGCTCGCTTATGTTACAACAATTGAAGGGAGCGAACAATCTCGCATTGGAGCGTATCGAATTCCCAACTCCCGTGACACGTAAGACGTCCGAAGAAGAGAATCCCGTCTGTCACTCTATCTCATCCCTAATTTGTGTGCAGTTTGCTACGTCGACGTGCGTTCGTCTCTCTCTTTCTCTCTCTCTCTCTCTCTCTCTCTTGGGATCTACGGTATAGACCGTACCAACACGTTTCTCTAAAGTGGCATGGACCTTTACCGGTTTAATCTGACAACCGCGCGGTATCGCGCTCACGGAATCATCGGAGTATGTGCCGTCATTTCCCTCTCTCCCTCCCTTTCCTCCTTCTCCTCCTCCCTTCCTATCGATCGAAAAGTCATCGAGCGCTGGGAGGAGAATCAATAAATTTCGCGACGACACGCCACGACGACGCATCCCGCTGCATCCTCGAGTCGCTCGACCTTCGCGCAGGGTGAAGAGAAGAAATGGGAAGGGGAGAAAAGAAATTCCTTTTCGCGTTCTCTCTCACTCGCTCACTCACACACACACTCTCTCTCTCTCTCTCTCCCTCTCTCTCGTTCGAATCTCTCACTCTGTCTCGGTCCACCGAAATCCGAGGAGCGGAATGATGACGTGATGTGCACGCGTGTGCGTGCACAAGTTGCGCCGCACATACGTTCTCCTTTTTTTTTTTTTTTTTTCATACTGCTCGCGCGTACACGTGTGCGTTTAACGGCGCGCGTATGTGTGTGTGTGTGTGTGCGCGCGCGCGTATGCGCGCAACTACCGAAGGCCATGTCCGACAGACCGCTCTGACGGATAAACTTTTGAAAAAGTAAACAGGCAGACGGTGAGAAACGATTCGCTGTACTCACAGGTTTTCGCCGACGACGGTCCAGCTGCTCCCACACACGAATTTCCCCCGTCGTGCCTCGCGTGCCACGGCAGTTATTTGATTTTGCACAGCAACATTATTGTACAGTCCAATGAAAAAAAAAAAAAAAAAGAGAGAAGGACCGAAGGAGAGAAAGGGAGAGGGAGTGTGACACAGAGAAAGAGAAAAGAGGGAGAAAGATCGCGCGACGGGCGAAGGGAAAACGGGAGGGAAAAATAAGATACGCAGATAGAGACGGAGAGAGAGAGAGAGAGAGAGATGGAGCGAGTGAGACGGAAGAGAGTGAGAAGAGAGCAGAGAGAGAAAGAAAGAGAGAGAGAGAGAGAGATGTATAGAAAAAGACACACCACGAGAGCCGCTCGTTTGATCAAAAGCACAATTTTCGTGACGTCATCGGCGGTCGGGCATGCGCGAACTGATTTCGGTGATTTTCCATGCACAAACGAAAACACGTGCGGTGCGACGAGTCGGTCGACGCCACTGCTGCTACCGCACACACTCGGCACTACATATCGCTACGAAACGCGCGGCATTATCGCGTCGAAGCGACGGCACGGGCTTCCACAGATACCGAGGGCGATTCGTGAGAGCTACCGCGGCTGCCGACATCTATGCACCCACTCCCACTTGTTAAGTGACGTACACTGACGTCATCGATAGTTTACCTTGAGGCATGACATTGAGCCGCAGTACGGCCAATCGCCGCGCCGCGAAAGTCCCCGTCGCTCGCACGCACGCACGAGGGGAGCTCGGATTCTCATTGCGCGCGCGAAAACGATAGCGATCTCCCACGAAGCGCTCAGCCCGAATATTCAAACCTTGACTACACCCGCGCGCCGCGCCCCAGGCACACACACACACACACACACATACAAGATTCTTTCTCATTATGCATCATCTTTTTTGGGTTTTCAATTTTGCGCTGTCGCAATACGCTTCGTTTTTTTTTGTTTTTAAAGAGACTTTGTCAAAAATAGTTTTTGCTGAAAAACATTTGTGAAGATGGAAATAAAAAAATATCTATCGCATTCTATGTTGATATATTTAACTAATTCGTCGCGGATTTTGTGTATTGAAGTATTTTTATTCGAAAAAAAATTCGCACAACGCGAATAAAATATTTTGACGTGGCACTACGTAGATTATATGTTAAGTAAATATAAAGTAGGTAAAGGGATATCTCTAATAAGAACAAACAATATAATTCACGTTAAAATTAAAGGGTTACTTGTGCAGTGTGCTGCGTGTTCAACTGTTGGACATATTAATCGTTTTCGTGCTCCAACATAAAGATGAAGTCGATATCATACAGCGCGATTATTTCAGGGTGTGATTATCCCCCGCGGTGAATGTGGGCCCTTCCGCTCGTAAATGGAGGACAAAGTGTAACCGTTAACATATCACAGTTTTACATCATCAGTTGTATATATATATATATATGTATTTTAATATAAAAAACGATATTTTTTATAGAGTTATTATATTCTTAATATAGAACAAAATTGATATTTAAATTAGATAATAATAAAAAAAATTAATATTTATCCGGCAACTAAGGTACGGAATCACAATCGCTCTGATATCATTCGGTTCCCATCCATTCCCGTTGCAAAATTCTAATTTCTATAACAATTATATTGAAATTGCATGCGCGAAGAAGCGGAAAATAGAATCGCGGGCGCGTGAAACAAAAAAAATCTTTAAGCACAATCTTAAATTAAAATAGTTTCCGACTATACTCATTTTACGTACGTTTGAGTTAAAAATAATAATTTCTTATATATGATTAAGTTTTGCATTTTTCCGCATCAGCAATTCAATTGATACTTTTTTTTTTTCTTTTTTTTTCTTTCTCTTTGCGTGCGCGAGAAAGGTGCGGTGTTACGTTCCTTGAACCGGGATTTATGTCTTGAGATTTAAAAAACGAGACAAGAGACGCGGATTTTGTCGCCGACACACACACGCCGGGGTGCACGTCATTCACAATGTGATGTAAGAGCAGCTAAACTGCAATCTGTGTGTCTCGTGTTAACCGGTAATAAATGCGAAATATTCACACGAAACCTCCTCAACAACGCGAATGCAACGCGCGCGACACGTTTTTATACATAATTCTGAAATCACGCGAAATATATCCAAGCGACACACGTATGTAAATAAGCGCATATATAGATTTCACGTTAACTTCAGGATATATATCTCGAGATTTTATTTGCCTACGTTTATTTTCTATTTCTAAACGAGGATGTTAAAAATAATAAAATTATTTCCTCATCGCGCGAGAATTCGTTATAAATGTGTCAATAAATTTTCCGGATTCCGAATATTGACGCGTCACTTATTTAAATTTTTAAGATTTTTTTTTTTTTGCAATTTTGTTCTCGCGGTATGTCTCTAGTGTCGAGTTCATTTTTTGCGCGCGATAAAAAGTAAAAAAAAAAAAAAATGTGCCGAAGGAACAAACGAAGACGGCAAAACAAATGGAATAACGACGAAATGCACATGGCACAGGTCGCGATAAACGTTGGGAAAGACAGGTTCAAGATTTTTTTTTCTCTGATAAATTTCTCGTGAGAACGTAAGTGCTTCATCCACACGCTCCGGACGATTTGTTGAACGCGGTTTTGGGACGCAAGATTGCAAATCTCAACGATCTCGAAAAATGAACACGAGAGAGAGACAACGTAAGTTGTTTTGCAAATGGCAGGAAGAAGATAATCTCGTGACACACACGGTCGCAATATTGCACCATTGAGCGAAATTAACATTCTGAATATTTATTTCCCATCTGATTGACCAGCGTATTTTTATTTAAAAAAAAAAAACTGAACAGACAAGTTCCTCCACGTTTTTCTAGCCGATGTGTGCAATTTTAATTCGCAATCAAAGGTCACATTTATGCTTTTAAAATTTATGCGTGCAAAGTTTTATATTACAAACTTTACCGCATCCAACGTAGGTGGAATTATAAAGAGTCTCTAATTTTTTAATCTCAATTTTTGTAATTAACAAACGAACTAATTAACGAGTATGTAATAACAATTGTCAGAAAAATTAATACGTCAATTAATTTTGGATCTTATTGAAAGTTACATACACGCGTATTATAAAAATGTGTCGCGTGCGTTCGTAAATTTTATCAACATGTGATAAAACACGTCACCAAGATGGAGAATTATTTTGAATGTGGGGAATAAATCAAATATTCCTAGACAATTCGAGTTTTCTGTCCGGTGTGTGCATTTCTTGTTTGCGTGTTCTTGTAAACATGGTGATAATTTAATCGTTTGCAATAATTTATAAACACACAAGTATGGAAGTAAAAACAATTCGAGACAATAGAAGAGACAAAGAACACGTTTGTCTCATCATGTGACTCGCAAAACGCGTATCTCGCGTAAGAAGACACACTTATGTGTATTTACTCTTGCAACTTCATATATTTTGGTTTCCAGACACATGTTGCATTACAATTTTCCAAAACCATATGTAGCATATATATATTGTACGTATATATTTGTATGTAACTATACGTCGAACATTCTGCGCTGTGCATTCTATTATTTAATTTCTTTAAATTTCAGTAATTTGTGTCTTTCACACGTTAACGGATTGATTTGATTTTTTGCCTTAAATCTCAGATATTGTTAACGTGTTGCTAAGTATATAAAAAAATTTTCACAGATAAAGGTTTGAAATTTTTTTTCTATTTTTTTTCTATATCATTCTTTTCCATACATTCCTGGTTTAATTAATTACCTCCACATCTCTCGAAAGGATGACACATGACTCACATATGATGTTATATTTTGTTTTCAGGGGGATACGATAAATAAATAATACCAAAAAATGGCATATGCCGGTAAAGTGTCAAACAACGCAAGGGGTAGGCAGAACGAACAATATGAGTTTTCAGAGGAAAGCGAGGTCGTGGATACGACCGGCTTAGACGTGTTGTACACGTCCAAGATGGATCGTGCGAGGACGACCGATAATAATGAGAATGTAGAAAAAAAGTTGCAGTCGCTGAAACATTTGTTGGAGAAAGATCCGAGAGCCGCCGATTTGAAATGGTCGTTTTTCGTGGCTGCGTCCAACACCTATCGTTTCGACAGCTGTCTGAAACCATTTCCACCTATGTACATTAAAAACGAGTGCAAGGATATTGAGGCTTTGGTATTCTCTGTCTCTATTTCGTGCGTGACACACAACATGTGCCGATAATCCGGATGTAAATAAATAACGTCTATGTGTTTTTCTTTCAGAGACGAGCCATAGAATTAGTTCCTCCTTTGCCTGTGATATGTAAAGAACTCGGCAACGTCGGTGCTTATGAGAATTACGGTGAAGCGATCGATTTACTTTATTGGGTACTGCTGAGACTGCGAGACCCGCACATCAAGAGTGTGCAGAAAGAACAAGTGAGTTTCCGCGTGCAACTCGCGAACCAAACAAAAATTTAACAAGAAACAAAAAAGAGTTCTCAAATTGAGAAGAGAAAAATACGCGGATTTACACACACAGAGAAACGCGAGAGATCTTGGAAATAAAAAAATTCTTGCGTTACAGTACGACTCGATACTGAGAAAAGTGCCACAAGAGATGCCGGCCACATCGCCGAATCTCATATTTCAAGTAGCAAGTACAAAGCAATCGGCGGCGGAAGAAAAATGGAAATCCAGTGCCAAAGGTCAATCGACGTTTTACGCGTATCACGGCAGTCGTTTAGAAAATTTTCACTCGATCGTGCATTACGGTTTGCAGCAGAATATGTGCAAAGTACGTGCAAAAATCTCCAATGTCAAACGACATGTATATATATTAGATTTTTTTTCTCTTTTTCTTTTGGACAAAAATTGCGAGAGACAGGAGAATATTTTTTTTTTGAAGACGAGCGACGTTCGCGTGTTTGTTTTTCAGAGATCGGAGTTTGGGAAAGGTATATACTTCTCGAGCGAATTAGGTGTGAGCTTGCCTTACAGCCCGGTTGGTTACGGATGGGGAGGTAGTCTGCTTGGAAGCGAGATAAGCTGCATAGCTCTGTGCGAAATTATCAATCATTCCGGAATAAAGAAAGAAGACTCGAGTAAGCAGATCGCATAACACGCGTGTAGTTTTACACGTCTCACATATATAACCGTAGTTTTTAGAGAGGAAACAACGAGTTTCGAGATAGCTAAATTTGTTGCAGGAAGTGTCGCACAGAACACGTTGAACGATTCGGTCAATGGAAAAATACCGGACAAGTACTTTGTAGTGACAAACAGCGAGTTGGTGAAGTTACGCTATCTGTTGGTCTATACTCAAGATCTTCAAATAACTAGGTAAACCGCGCGATTGATATCTGCGCGATTACATCGCGAGATTTCTGTAAACACAATTTACTATTTCAGCACTATCGAAAGTTCGGGATTGCTGGCGTGGTTTAAGCAACATAAGCTGCTGACGTTCGTGATCGGCTATGTTGTGCTGTTAGCCTCGGTCGGATTAACGCAAAACAAACAGGTAGAGAAGTATTATAGGATGTTTATCCAGAAAGCGGGATTCGAATAAAAGAACGTGAGCGCACACGGTTGTTTTTACCGATAAAGAGAGAGAGAGAGAGAGAGAGAAGTAGTGCTATATTTTTCTAAAATTAAGCTCCATGCGTGCATCGCGCACGCGCGCCAAGAGTATAATGATACCGTAAAAAGCTATAAATGTTAAATAAAGAATGTCTTTTTTTTTTCAGATTAAAATTCAAAAATATTCTCTCTCGCGCAAAAGAAATTTTTTCTCTTTTCTAGTAGTTTACGTTCTGACATTTATAGCTTTTTATATACAAGTTTGAGATCTAACTGAACTTGTCCACTCATACAGAATGTTGTCTCTTTTATATATACATTATTTAAATATAATATATATATATATATATATATATATATAATAATAATAACTAAGTAAATATTTTATGTAAAAATTTATACAAAACTTTTATTCCCGTATAAATTCAATATCGTGATAGTATAATAGGAAAGTTCTCGGTAACCAAATAATCATCCTCAAACACAATGATGAGATTTACCTCGAATTCTGAAACAGAAGGTGTTTGCGTCTGTAAAAAGTTCTGCGGAGTCTGTAGTCCGTGAGAGAATGGAGCAGCGTAATAACGTGCGATATAAAACATTTCTTACCAACTTTGAAGTTGCTCGTGCTCAGAGTGGGACACGTAAACAATCTTGGAAATATCATGTAGATCGGAATAGGGAGATTCGTGCAAACGTTACCTTCGCCAATTTGTATATTTTGTATCTCCGTCGCTGCAACAAAAAATAAAAATTTGTACGACCTTTAAATAATATTCGATTGCTAAAGCAATCGGAACAAATTACTTTACATAATTTATTTTGCCAATCTAATATTCCCGTACCATCTCGAGAATATCCTTCCGCACAACCGCAGGTCTCAACCCTCACCAACTGCAGTTCTATAGACTTTATAACGGCCTCGCAGTTTTCGATTATTACCTGAGAGAAAAAAAATTAAAATAAGAGTCGTTATTTTTTGAGAATTTTTTGAGAAAGTTTGTTTGTCTTTTTTCTTTTTTTTTTTTACTTGCCTCTCCGGTCAAAGGTTCGGATAGTTTGCAATGTAGAGAGTCCAGTGTGCCCGAGATGCAGAATCGCGGCATGTTGGATCTGTCCCTGGTATTTTGCAATGATTCCGGCATTATTTTGAAAAGTACCATTTTGTTATGCTCCTTTTCCAACTTGGAGCTTGGTCTGTCCTCGACTATGAACTCCAACGACTTGCTCACGTCCTTTGCGAGAAAACTTCTCTTAATATCACAGCGTATCAGGTATTGTATATTCACGAAAACACCATGATATGTTTCGTAAAGGGATTTGCTTCCTCTCGGCTTCAACGGCAACTCGAACGGTATTTCTGTCGTGCCGCTTGGAATCTTTCCCGATGGCGCAACGTCCAACGTGTATTGCACCAATTGTATGGGCTGTGAAAACAAATTTTATACATAAATACAATCGTACAAAGATGTTATGAAAAACATGGATAAAAAAAATTTGTAAAACTATTAATCGTGCAATAAATGCAATAATAATTAAAACTACTAGAATTTGTGTAAAATTCATTTACAATTTATGTGTACAAAAAAAAAAAAAAAAAAAAAAAATAACACTAACCTTAACCGAATTGTAGAACGCTTCGAAGATGCCGACATTCTTCGAGCTGAGTTGCAGATTTACCGAACCTTCCATGGTAAGATAAATGCCATCGTGTTTTATGTCCGAATTGGTTTTCAAAAATATGAGACCGGTAACCACCTCCTGGTAAACATAACCTCAATTTTACACAACCGAGCGTCACGCAAAAAAACATCAACTTTGCAATCAACAACTTACCGCTTCGTGATATATCTTGCTTGCACGTTTTAATCTTATGTCTATGTTGATGGACATTTTGCAAGTAAGTCACAAACAATTGATTTTTCTGATTCGACGGCAAATTATCATCTCGCGCTTGTCAAAACAACAAAATTATCATCGATACCACCAAGATGCGTCGACGATCTCCTTCGTACGGTACTTTTTTTTTATATATATATATAATAAATTGGTCTCATAAATTTTTCGTCACACGTAACCGCAATCGAATCAAAGCTTATTACCATACGTACTATATATATATATATTACACATGCTTCTCATCCAGATGGACGTGTTTAAACTTCCAGAAAAGAGCTGGTCGCGATCAGCTGATCGGTTTTTTAAACGCCAAACACAAGCGATGCGCTTTATTTTCGCCACCGGAGAGACTGACAGAAGCTATCTTCTTTGTGCACACGCTATCATCTCCTATAATACACGCAATTAGTATTGTAATCAAAATTGAAAAAAAAAAAACAATTGTACAAATAAATGTGTACATAAAAAAATGCGCGCGCGAATGTGCGTTTTTTGAAAAGTGTTTTAAACTCGTTGTTATAAAATGCTGTAACTATGCGCGTGTGCGTGTTGTGTACAATATGTACATACAAAAAAAACTGCAAATGTGAGAACATCTAACGAATTAGAAGAATCTGTGAAAAAAGAACAAAATATCTTTGACAAAATGAAGATAAAATAAAAGAAACAATATTTGTCAAAATTTTTTTTTCGGAGTAAAATAAAACAAAAAGCCCACATCTTTCACATCTCGTCGTGCTTCTTGGGACTTTCTGACTTCGTCTTCTCAATCTTTCTCCGAGATCTATTGATTCTCTCCGCTATCGGTCCCTTCTGCGATTAGATTGCGTAGGGTCGACGAGTGATTCGATTAGTAACGAAATGAGTCACTCGGAAAATTGCGACGAGGGTAGTGAACCGACCGCCGGAGTCAAAATCGGGTATCAAAAATTAACCGTAGACAGTCGCTAAGCCAAAACCGGATATTTACCGGTTCCTTATCCCTTCGCGAAGCCCTCTGTCGTCCGACTGAGTTTCCCTCTCCGACCAATCGCACGGTTCGTTTCTCACATTTGTCGTCGTTTGCGCAGTCGCGCCCGGCGCGTTCGTCACTTCCTTCGAACAGCAAACAAATTCAAACCAATTGAGACGTTAGGGCGAGAGGAGACTCCTTCACGGTCGAGCTGTATGCTAAGTGCTGCGCTTCTCAAAAGGAAATAATTTAACGGAAATCGACTTGTGGCTTCGCGAAAATTGGAGTTAACTCTGCGTGACTGTGTGATTTTTGACAATGGCAACGATAAATCGGCCCGTGGTGAGCACGATTGTCAATTTTGTTATCGGATGGAGAAAAAAAATGAGAGAGAGATTATCAAAAAATGAGAGAGGAGGTGTGATTTTTTCGGGGAGGAAAATTTGTAACGCGCGATCGACATCTTTAAATGTCCTTTGGACCATTAACACGTCTTCTCTCGTGTGTGGCCTGGCTCTCACACTTTTTTTTTCGACTTCTTCTGAACGTCGAATATTTAACAATGAATAATCGGTAAACGCCAATTGATTCTACGAATTTCTCAGAATCGCATAAATTATCGTCGTCGCGACACTTTCCCGAATTGCTCCCCGGAATTTTGTTTCCCTCCTTTTTTTTTTGGAAGGTCTGATACGTGTTGTCGATAAAGTGTTGTCCCAAAAAACTGGAAAACGCTCAAAAATCTCGACACGTGTCACGCAATCGTTTCCTGTAAATACTCAAGGTTTTTGTTTTTTTATGCATTTTACAGATGTATGTGAGTCAGGAAAATAATATAAAAAACGTGAAATCTGTGGTTCCTAAGCCGGATAAAACAAAACGACCGGCGTTGGGTGAGATAAGCAACAAAGTTAATACAATGAGGGGTGTCGAACCTTTGGATAGGACTAGTTTGTTGCAAAACAATACGAAGAAAGTTGGAAAGATGCAGAAAAAATTGCCAGTTAAAGCGAAAGAAAAAGCGGAAATTGAAAAACCGGTTCAAGTGGTAAAGCCAGTTCAAGCATCGACCAAGACAACGACAACAACAACGACAACAACAACTAGTAAATCAGAATCGAGTGAATCTTCTAATACAAATCGTATAGTTAAAACAACCATTGTAGTGGGAGCTCCATTTAATCAAAAGAGAGAAAATAGAAAATCATTTTCGACGGACCTATTGAAGTTTGAGGATATTGACCAGAAAGACAACAACGACCCTATTCTAGTTTCTTTTTATGTCAATGACATACACGAGTATTTAAGACAGTTAGAAAAACAATTTCCTGTTAAGCAAGGATACTTGGCAGGTCAGGAAGTCACTCCTAAGATGAGAAGTGTACTGGTAGACTGGCTGGTAGACGTACATCAACAGTTTCGATTGATGCAGGAGACGTTGTATCTCACTGTCGCGATTGTAGATCGCTTCTTGCAGGTAACGCGCCACGGCAACATACGGCATACGTTTCATCTTAGAGAATACGTTTGCTATATAATCCTATTCGTTTGTGTGTTCTCTCGCAGTCTTATCGAACAATAGATAGAGAAGCATTACAGCTGGTAGGTGTGACAGCTATGTTTATCGCCAGCAAATACGAAGAAATGTATTCGCCCGACATAAGCGACTTTGTATATATTACGGACCAGGCCTATACGAAATCGGACATATTGAGAATGGAAATGCTCATTGTGAAAGTCCTCGACTATTCGTTTGGCCGACCACTGCCGATACATTTTCTTCGAAGATACAGCAAGGCCGGAAAGGTGCGTAAACTGCCTCGGAAGCGTTTTGTCAACTCGAATTTATGTTACGGCAAGTAACTGCGTGCCTCGCTTACTTAAACGATATTTTTTTATTTATTTTAGGCGCATCCTTTACATCATACAATGGCCAAGTATTTCCTAGAAGAGTGTCTGATCTGCTACGAAATGTGCCATTATCCGCCTAGTCTCATTGCCGCAGCAGCGTTATATTTAGCATTTTTGTAAGAAAACTGAAACACTTCCCAATATGTATTGCACGTTTTAAAGTACGTGAATGAGAAAATTAACTTAATCAAAAAAATTGTTTTCTTGTAGAATTATTGGTAATGAGGAAGAAGATGAAGGTAAAGTGATCTGGACAGATACTCTAATATATTACAGCACCTATAAAAAAGACGATGTATTACCTGCGGTACGTGAAATAGCTGGCATGGTAGTTAAAGCGGAAGAAAGCAAGTATCAGGCCGTAAGAAAGAAGTACGTTCAAGTGAAGCATATGAAAGTTAGTATCCGGCCTGAGCTCAAGTCGCCGGTTATGCTTGCACTTGCTACAAAAAGTAACGAGACATAAGATTGTAACAAAATAGAATACATAACTTATTTTTGACATACAATTGTAATTTTTTTGAGACATTTTCAATAAGGCATTTGCTGCGCTAAAAATATCCTGTCGGGGGAACATATCGAGTTGTATTTTATTGTGGACGTAATGGATTACAAGATTGCATTATTCAAAAATTGAAACAAAAAAAAAAAACTGATAAAGCAAACTTTATCACAAAATAAATGAATGTTTACACTGTAATTTGATATTAATACGCACGAATTTCTTATTGAAGAAAGTCTAATTTTATTTAGACATAAAAATGGAGAGATATAAGGCGGGACATTTATTTAGAGATTATTATATATACAAAAGTTTGTTAGTGTAAGCGTATAAATTTAGTCAGGTAATACTGATGGACACTTATTTTGGGCTGTCGTAGCGGAACTAGGTTCAGGCAGAAATCGTCAAACGCTTTTTATATAACGAAATATTAAAGGAAGGTTTTAATTTTTATTAGCAGATTGTAAAAATATTTTACTTTTTTTTTTTTTTTTGATATACGAGTCCTACACCAAGAATATCCACTTTTGATGTCACCGTATAAAAAAAATACATGGGCGATCCAAAGATCCACACATATATATTATATTATATACATATTCCACTTTTTATGTGTATGCTTTTATATATTCGTATTATTTCAATTGTAGTCTCTATTTTTAACTAGCATGCAAGTGGACACGATATTGAAAAAATATCCGTTTTTTTTTCGATATTGATAAATTACACATGAACTCTGAGTATAAAAGTCACAAGTGATTAATAAATTTTATAAACGATAACGCGACTTTTCTTGATGCAAAAAAAAATTTCTTACAAGATTTCTTAGGCAATCGAAAAAAAGAGATATTCAAAAATTGTTACTCGTGTATTTTGTGTATGTCACAGTATATGTACTTTACGTGTTATATTCTATACTATGTATATATATAAATTAACTGCTATATAAGTATATGTTCTTGTAGGTGAAAAAAAAATAATAAAATTTTATATTATCAGTTAAATATTCTAAATTTTAACAGTATAACAGTGTTTGATTAAAAAAATTTATATGTAGGACAAAATACAAAATAGCTTTTAAGTATACTTATATTGTTAGCCTTGGTAGCTGAAAATTATTATAATAACATCCTAAAAGGGGCAAGATATGAGATTTAAGAACTATACACATATTTTGTAAATAAATTATCCAATTGCACACATACTCCAATTTATTTGTGTATTATTCTTTTCTGTTTTTCTTCTCATTTTATTGTTATATAAAAACGATAGTTTCTCATTTATATATAACACAGAACGTGGTACAAAAACGATCTTACGATCTTTAAACTATTTTGAAAAATATCTAATTTAAATCGTAATACTTCCAGTCGATTTCAGGTGGATATTTTATACAACTACTTAATTCTGAAAGACAAAAATATATACATGTATTTTTAAAAAATACTAATCAAAAAATGTTCCGGTCTCTTTTTTTTGGTCTCAGAAAGACTAGAAGTTTCTAGCTATTGTATTCGACGTGTATACTTACCACGTGGATTGAAATCCGCAATATTTTCTTGAAGCAAGAGCTTATCCATGAAGTTTGTCTATTAATAAAGAAATAATATAAAGTCTGACGTACAGGAACACCTTAAAATATCTGATCAGAACTTACCAGTTTGTCTAAATTTGTAGAAGAGTTGTCCCAGATTTCGGGCACGCTGCTCTTTATCACTTGAAAGAATTCTTTTGTTTTATTTCGAACGTTCTCTGATTCTACATCAAATTCGAAACGCGTCAATAAATACCCAAGTTGGGTTGTTTCGTCTGCAAATCACAGATAACGTCACGAATGTCACACAATTGTTCGATGATGACGCGAATATTGTTAAAATATTGCGTTGCACAAACCTCTGTCTCTATAGATGTCGCTGATGATTTTGTGAAGTTCGAATACTAAGCCTACATCTTCGAACATACCGCCTTCTTTTATACGCAAAATTTTTCTCGCATGCTTTCTCGCTTTCTTTCTTGATCGAGAGCTTCTCCTAAAACACATATATATATATGTTCATGTACATTAAAAAATGTGGATGTTCTCTTTAAAATAGAATTTTGAGAAATCAACAGAGAAGAGCGTACCCAGAAGTCGAAGATATTTGCGAACTTCGACTAAAAGTAGTGTCGCTACTCGCGTCGCTGAGAACATCCAGAACTTCTTCGCGCGATCTGTCATCGTAGATTTGTTCGCTTAAAAACTCGTTCGCAAGCGGATGGTCTTTATAAACGGGCGTCCTTTGCTTTTCCCTCATTTCTTTTCTCACTGATATTAAACGGGTCTTGAGTTTAAGAAACAGTTCTTTCTTTTTACTCAAGTTCGATAACACGTCTTCCGCGTGCTCCTTCAAACCAGGCTTAATATGTGTTTCTGCGGAGTTAATACAAATCGGCTATATATATATCATGTTTACATTTAAACGGACAATGTGAATTAAATCAAACTTACAATTTTCGAAGATCATAACTCTTACACGAAACAATTATTTTTTTAATTAGTTTTTCCACTAACCAATTAAATCTAGACGTTCGATATCGAGCGCTATTCTTATCGCACGCTTCCATATTCTTCCCTCGCACAATATCGCAACGGCTTCTTCCGTGTCATTCAGGTAGTCTTTCAACACCGTAGCCGCGTCAGAATGCATTCGCTCTGCGTACAATTGTTTAACTAGTTCTTCGTAAAATTCATGTAAATCCGTAGGACTGAGAAGAGAAATTTGTTTTCAATTATTATACGCGATAATAAAAATCTACATTTCACATCTTATCGCATCAAATCTCGTGCGAATGTGGGATATAGATTTTTTTTTTTTTTTTACCTTAATTTCAGTTCTGTCGATACCATAATAGCTTCTTGCCAGCTGGCGGCTGACTTGCCGAACGCTTCTAAAGCTTTGCGAAGATCGCCACTTCTGTAAAACATCGTACCCGCTTGATGATGTTTTCTCTCGGTTGAGAGATACTCCGCGTAAAGCGCAGCCACTTTCTTGTGTTCTTCGCTACTTTTCTCAAACATCTTCATCGCGCTTTCGTATAATTTCTGATCGCGTATCAAATTCGAGCACTCGTCAAATTTACTCGGCACCTTGGATATGTGTTCGAGCGCCGATTCGTAACGTTTCAGATGCATATCAATGGAATACTTCATGTAATTTTTGTCGCTTAGATTTTTCAAGCTGTTTAAAAACGGCACGTACTCTTTGGGATCTTTCGACGACTTGCTGGCTACAAACATCGTCAGTTCGAAATCGTACATGCCCAATGCGATGTTGTACAATACGTCGATATTCACCAAATGCAACAGGCATCTGAGCGCGTCGTCCGCGGATATGGGAAGATTTTGCGAATCTTCCGTCAACTTGATTGACTTGACTTTCTCAAGCGCTCTTTCCAATCCCTCTTTGTATTGATGTTTCACCAAACTAATCAATATAGGTTCTATCAGACGATTCGCATCTTGTTCCTCCATAATGTTTCTCAACAATTCGCAAACACGTTCAACTTTGTTACTTTCAACTTCATTGTCTTCCGTTATTACCGACCGCGCGGAACAATTGGAAATACATTTCGCGTACATCGTTTTAATGACATTTTCATTTTGCAGATCCGCCAAAAACTGAGTCAACCAATTCGGTTTGTCGGCAATGTCGTTCACAAATTTTCTCGCATTGTCCACGAACAATTGCGGATTGTAATCGTATATGAAATTCAAGTTAATACGTTCCAATCTCATGATTTCAAAAGCCTTTCGGTAATTGCACTCGTCGAGATGGCATCCTATTATGTGCAACGACATCGGTCTCGGCCGTATGCATTCGAGATTTCCTCTGGGGGCTTGTAAAATGACTTTTGAGGTGTGAGGTATCGCGCCAACTAAGTGAGAATTTCTGTCGATTTGTCTCATGTAGATATCTGTAATTGCAACAACACACACAGTCGTTGGACGGAGAAGAAAATCTGTGTCGGCAAAAGAGATATTATCGCGGAAACGTTTCACACATACCTTCGCTGAACTTGGTTTCACATACGGCACGTCCTTTTTTTTCATAGTAGTTAGAAGGGACGTTCAAGTCGTGCGCGGTCAGTTGTTTCAAACCGTTTTCGCTCAACGGAACGCAGATGAGCAATTCTTCCGTTGTGAGAAGCAAAAAAGCGGAATGAACGTAGAAACTCGTAATGTGCTTGGCAGCTACTTTGTGGTCGATGTAAAAGACATTGTTCTCGCAAAGAGCAATGAGAACGTGTCTCGAATCGATCTTTATTTGTTCCACCTGACAGTATTTCGCTTCGTTCTCGCAATCGTTCAACTCGAATTCGTCGGATTCGTTTATCCGTTCTATTGAATACGACGGTTTGGAGTAATCTACGCTGTCTAACGACGTGGAACTTGAATCGTTCCTTCTGATTATACGCGCGCAGTTCACTCCCAGCAAATAAATCACGTTTTCGTCATGAGTAGGCACTAAATGGGTTACGTCAAAGTCGAGCTTATGAGCGTGTCTGTAGAAATCAAATTTAAAAAAAAATCAAGAACAGTTTTAATATATATTTTACACACACGCGCGTGCGCATTTTTGTTTGTGTCAATTCGTGGAAACTAAATTGCAGTTCTTCGCAAAGTGACACAATGTGTACACATACCTTATCATCACACAACCGTCTTTGGTATCTATTTTATGCAAAATGATTTCGCACAAGTACGAACATGAATCTTCGGTTGCGACACACAACATACTGTTTTCAGTAACCCATAAGAAATGATGCAGGCGGCCAAAAAAGATACAATTTCTTATATCCGGTATGTCACACGTAATACCATGTTTGCTTGAGGCTTCATATTCAAATTGGGATGTCTACAAATTAATATTATATTTGCAACATTTACAACACAAAGAAATCAATGCACGTTAATTTAAAATTGCAATTTCATCGCGATACTTACCGGCGCTTTTCTCTTGAAAAAACCCAATAAATTGAAGCACGATACCGTGCAATATGCGCTACTACACATCCAAGATGTTCTTTTATCATTGCTGTCTACTTGTGCGCTATAATTTGGTGCAAAAACAACCGCGTTTATTGGATATCTTATAAACATAAGACACGTTTGTCCCATTGGGGGTGGCGCGATTACGTGTTTGAAATCCGTAAGCAACATCTTCCGTTCTCGAATAACGCCTATTACCGCGTTGTCGTTTGTAGTTTTGCAACTGTTGTGATTCACACGCCAAACGAAGCGACAATACGTAAGTCCGTGCAATGTTAGAAGAATCAATTCCTTTTTGTAACCTCTGTTGCAAGTTCGAACGTTCCACGTTGCGCGTATAAGTGGATCAATTTTGTAGAAAACCATGACCTGTTTGAGATACCACGTGCAATTGTTTTCGGTCCACAACTGTAGATCTATTTGGCCCGTCTCGACGTGTTTATAAATAATTGTTAAGATCTCTGAATCCGGCGACCAAAATATATCCGTCACCTTAGAATCTATTTTTTCAATACACCAAAAATCAGCTTCGCCTATCGGTTTTATATTAACGGATGGACTATCATCGTAGTTATGTTTAAGACCATTTTTCTCATAACATGTAATAACATGGTCCGGATAGCCCCAACTGCGAGATGTTTCAGCACATGTCGTAGCAATGAAATCACCTGATGGTTTCCATGCCAAACATTCTTCTAATTCGTCATTCGGTTCGCTGGTATATTGTAAAATACCTTCGAAGTTAAATACTTTAAACTGTCGCAAGTTTGTTGTCGCGTGTACAAAACTAACGGCAAACAAGGCGCCGTCTCCGCGCCAAGTTATTCGAGCACGACCGTCGTCTGATACATTTCCATCTCTGTCTGGTCTTGGTTCTCTTTTTGTCATTTTACCTCGCGAACCACCACGAAACTGAGTTTCTTTCTTGCCCCAACCAACGGTGATAAATTGCTTCTCACCAAAATCTGACGAATGTAAGTTTACCTACAAGATAAGAAATTAAAAAAAAAACTTATGTATTATTTCAACAAATTATTAAATTACACTTTTTACAAATTAAACTATGAAATATCACCTCTGATAATTTCGTTTCAAAATTTAACATGGTAATCACATTTCCTTCATCAGTCACAACTACGCAAATCTCCTGATCCGGACTAAGCTTCATGCAGTGTAGCTTGGTGTCAAATTTCATTACTAAATCATACATGCAAAAGTTTATCATATCTCTTTCTTCGGGTGCAAATCCTTTTTTCAGAATTACACTAAGAATCTGACCACTCTCATACGCCAAATATAATTGTTTATATGTAACGGAATAGTCCATCCCAACAATTTTCAAATTCTCAGAATATTTAGGAAGAAGCGAATACTTTACGTTATCTTGTTTGGCTAGAGAGACCTGATACAGTCTGTCGTTAATCACAATGGCAACTTCCAAATCGTACAGATTACCGTGACCTGGATTAACAATGGTCCATTGTATATCCGAGAGACCATTTTCGTCTTTCACGGCGTTGGTTTGATTTCGTTCGGTGCTCGTGGACTTGGAACGATCAGTCGATGCGCTTTCTATGGCGTTTTTTATGAAATCGTGATATCTATAGACCTGATGAAGAATCTCTAAATTCTTCATGGTTCCGGTGAATGTCACGAGAAAGAAAACAAATTATAATTTATTCAAATCTTGCGATCCCGGTAGAAGGGTGTATCACTGAAAAGAAAACACATTTAAAATTCACGTATAAAATTATGTTATGTGTAAAAATTACAGAGTATATATTTGCGCGCAAACGTAAAGCTGCGTAATTTGTTTTCCTCCAATTTATCAGATTCTATACATGATATCCCACGCTTCAACATACCCTCTCCTTATATTAGTTTGGTTTTGTAACGGTGAGCAAGGCACCAACAACTTTTTATCAATTATAAATCGTTTATTTATAAATTACACCAATTATTCTCAAGCTCAGCCACGTGCGCGGCTAATGTTGGTCGTGGCGCTTTTCTTTCGCAAGCACCACCATAACACCATTATTCACGCAGACGCTAAACACCATTGCGTAAAGTTTCTATAGTTGCGCACCAATAATCCGACCAAAAAAAGACCGTTCTCCATCAAAAGACGCGGGACCAATCGTATCGCCCAATTTGATGAAAATCACTAGAAACGCATCCGCTCAGCGTTTCTAGCGCTTCCCGCATCTCTTGTCTTTGAAAACGGCCTTTGATTTTAAACGCGTCCAACCATAGACGTATAATATATATAGACTGCGCGTTTGGCTGAAAATATGGGTGCGTTCAGACAACTCAACGGTTGAGAGATCATCACTTACGATAGGACTATTCTTCAAAATCTGCTGCGGTTCCAAAAGTATGATCCAATCAGAAGTGATTATCTCTCAACTGTTGTGCAACTGTTGAGTTGTCTGAACGCACCCTATGTCTTCAACGTTGAGAGAGACAACATACTTTGAATAGTAACTCTTTCTCTGTCTATCATTTACCCCACTACTTCGCTAGACAAAGATGAGGCTACTATTCAACACCAGCTGTCTCTCTCTCTCCACGTTGAAGACATTGGGTGCGTTCAGACAACTCAACAGTTGCACAACGGTTGAGAGATAATCACTTCTGATTGGATCATACTTTTGGAACCGCATCAGATTTTGAAGAATAGTCCTATCATAAGTGATGATCTCTCAACCGTTGAGTTGTCTGAACGCACCCATTTTCTTAACATGGCGAAGGTAGGGAACGCGCAGTCTATATATTATAACGTCTATGCGTCCAACAGAAATTGGTAACATTAGCGCCGCGAAGGTCAAAAGGACAAAAACAGTGGCTTCCCCTCCAATTGTTACTCTTTTCAAAACATAGAAAAACTAATTGTCAATTAATACGTACTAACTATATATATGTTATTAACTATATATATATATGTATTATTTGTAACGTTAGAATGTTAAATAACAAATAGGTTTTGTTATTTAAGTTTTGAGAAGAAAAACAAGAACAAACCAACGGCGAACATTATCGACGCAGCGTTTTGGACAAGCGATCGCCGACACGCAGTTCGCCGACGAGATGCTCGTTGGCGTTACTGACGCGGCCGAATAGGTAAGTCATCTTCCTCGCCCTCACACCCCCTTGCCAATTCCGCGAATTTCTGTTGTTCGCTGTACACATGTGTTGCTGCGCGTACGAGTGGTGGTGATCAGTGACGATCGCTTTTTCAGTGACGGGACAGACGGAAGGAACGTGGTAGCAGCGCCATCAAACGCGTGACAAGATGAATCGCGAGAAACGAGCGTGAAGGGGCAAGACCCGGACCAGAGCCGACCCGACCAACCAGCAGCCACGCGATACACATATCCCACACAAGCGCACGAGTGGAAATTAAATTAGCGGCTTCGACTGAGACACCATATTCCCGCGGGCCACGCACCCCGTAGATCACCGGCCGGTTTCCCTTCTTGAGAGAGAGAGAGAGAGAGAGAGAGAGAGGAAAAAGAGTGAGAGAGAGAGAGAGAGTCGGCTGTGAGGCCGACGACGACACAGCCGACGACGTCGGTGACGGCGACGTCTAGAGCCCAGGAGAGAGAGAGAGAGAGAGAGAGAGTGCGAGGCGCGTAACGGTGGCGTTTGGAAAATCGGACGACGTCTCGGCCCGAGACTTCTAGAAGATCCAACGGGCGCGCCGTGGACAGGCGGCCACGGGGGAGCATCTGCCAGGCGATTTTCGTTCGAGAGACGCGACTCTGCGGAATCTGCTGAGAAAGAAATAGGGAGTACGTATCCTTCCTTCTCCGCACACACAGGGAACGAGCGCGCGCGCGCGCGCGCGCGATGGTCCGAATATATCGGACGCTGATAACGGGTCTCTCACCAGAGGAGGATAGGAGAACCGTCGCGGCGTATATCTTTACACAGGGAATCTGTCTTTTTTTGTTGTTTTCTTTTGTTGTTGTCTAGGCGAATATATAAGGACTGTGTGCGTTCAGCGCGCACACTTTTCTTTCTCGCGAGAAAAAACAACGACAACGAGCCGGAAACGTGGATCCGTGTTCGCCCCCGTCCGTTCCGCAACGCATCCGCGATTTGATCGGGCGAAACAAACTCCCCGCATTTCCAACTCTCCGGCATTCCATCTCGTCGACACTTGGCAACGCAACATCTCGCGAATCCCCGTGCGTATACAACCACACGCACGTACGGTACGCGCTTCGTTCTGTGCGTGGAAGAAGAAGCTGTATCCGTGCGCGTGTCTGTGTGTGTGTGTGTGTGTCACGTACGTACGCGTGGAACACGCACACGGTGTATGCGCGCGTGTTGTACCATACAGAAGGAGTTTTATACTCCTCTCGGTGTGGCACAAGCTGTCAATCCGTGACCGATAGCCGTTCGTTTGCCGACGACGAGTGCCGCGAAAGAAAAAAAAAAAGTTATTGATTCTCGCTTTTTTTCGCGCACATGCCAGGATATTCGGATACGGTTTGTAAATCGTGATGCGAAATGCCCGCTTGGTAGAGCGAGAATTTGTGTTTTGTGTAGAAAGGGAGAGAAAAAAAAAATAAGAAAGAGAGAGAGAAGTGCTCGATGGTATGCAAGATTATGCTCACAATAATGTTGCTCCGAACGATTATTTGTTTTTTTTTTTTTTTTTTTTTGATACAAGCGTGTTCTCGCTCGTAGTGTGGCACACACAAAAAGCTCGATGATAAGTTCGCACTTTTATCGCGACAAATAATATACTTGCGCGAATGTGTTCCTAAAACCTTAGAAACGTGTATTATACTCCATTGTCAGACGTGTGATGTTTCATTGTTATCTTGTTCGTTGAAATTTGTGTATATTGCAAATTTTTTAATCCGCAAAGAGACAAGGAAATCCATAATTGCTTTTTGTTGATTAAGTAAAATTGCGCAAGTTTGGAAAACTGAACTGAAAGAGTAAAATTTCACAAAAACGGAGGAAGATAAAAATTGCAAAACTTTTTTTTTAATTAAGTAATTACTTAAAGGATTAAAGTTTTTCAAATAAATTTGAATTTTTATGGTTTCTTTGTTAACAAAGTATTTTTCAAACATTTTGTGTGTACGTTTGTAAAAAAAAGTTTAACAATCAAATTCAATTGTTTTCTTCGCAGTTTTCTTCGACAATGGCAGCATTACCACGGAGGATTATTAAAGAAACGCAAAGATTGATGCAAGAACCAGTTCCTGGTATTAGCGCTGTACCAGATGACACAAACGCTAGGTATTTTCATGTTATAGTAACGGGACCTGAAGATTCGCCATTTGAAGGTGGACTGTTTAAGCTCGAGTTGTTCCTACCAGAAGATTATCCAATGTCAGCACCTAAAGTTAGATTCATTACAAAAATTTACCATCCAAATATAGACAGGTAAAATTAAAAAACGTACTCATTTTGACCGTCAAAATTTATATGTAAATTGTGTAGCTACACGTATCTTTTTTTTTTTTTCAATGACTGTTGTATATTTCACATAAATCGACAATGTTTTTTTTTTTTTTTTTAACAAACACCTTTAAATAATAGAATATAATTTATGCGCACTTTTGTGTTTGACGCGATAATTTAACGCTACGTCCTAATTGATTGATTTGTTATTTATTTATAGATTAGGCAGAATTTGCCTGGATATTCTCAAAGATAAATGGAGTCCCGCTCTTCAAATCAGAACAGTTTTGCTGTCTATACAGGCGCTCCTGAGCGCGCCCAATCCCGATGATCCTTTGGCAAATGATGTAGCTGAACTTTGGAAAGTCAACGAAAGCGAAGCGATACGTAATGCCAAAGAATGGACTCGAAGATATGCTATGGACAACTGATCTCAGCCTTGTCAGACCGTCAACGACAAAGCAAAACAACGTTATTCCTACCTTTCCCAGACTTTTGATCACCTTACCCGCACCAACTGCGCGTATCCAGCACTTGTGTCCACAATTTTGCTATAAAACTAATAAAAAGTTTTGTAAGAGTAAAACAGAATGGATATTTTCTATATATTATGGGGGAAAACGCAAAGGCACTGTTGGATTTATTCGATTGCTTATATTGAGAAACAAACTTGATAAATATCTCTTCCTACGTATTAAATGTTGTATAGTTTACAAGAGAACCTCGTTTTGTGAAAAAGACAGACGAGATAATGAGATGTGCTATATATATACAACACACAAGCTAGAAGTCAAATGTTAAAAGTATGCGACCTGTTCTATTCCCTCATTATATCGCTATGGAATCTTATGTGCAATTTCCAGAGTTTATATAGACCTTTTTTTCTTATTTCTGACATTCAATCTTGAAATTTGGAAAGGTTTATGTTTCAAAATAAACAAATTCTCTTCTCTTCCTTATTGTGAAACAAGCTTATTATATACTAACTGGTTGTCTCTCTGTTTCTCTTTCTCTTTATTATAGATGTCTCTAGAATAGAAACAATTGAGAAAATTAATTTTATATTAAAAAAAATCCATTTTTTTATAAAATTTAAACAATTAGCTATTATTTCGCGTATTTTAGTCTATCAAAGAAGCTACACAAGCATTTTCAATCTCTGTAATCCATCTTTCAATGTTTCCAATTGTTTTAACGCAATTGTTAACGAGGTTTGGCATACGATAACCAACTGTTTAATTTTTAATGTAACAATAAGAAAAAAAAACATTCGAATATATTTGTTTGCTCAGACGGTGAATTATATAAAGGCAGAAATATTCCATTATTACGTTAGTGAAATAATTGCCAATTTAATTGCTTATATGTAAATATAAGTAATAAGAGTAGACAAATTTTCTTTATTTGTATTTCACAGTAAAAAAATTTATATTTATTAAAATATAAATCTAAATGATGAACACATATAGCAAAAAAATTTAAATTTCCATATAATAAACTTGTGTTATAAGAATTGCTTGTATCTGTATGGAGGTAATGTGTAAAAAATATATAGGAAAAGTTATATATAAAATATTTTCCACTTAATTAGTAAAAGTAACAGTCATAAAAGAGAAAATCGCGAACATGTGAAGAACTAGTTAAATTTATAACATATATATACATAAAACTTTTATATATGTATATGTATATATATATAAATATATATATGTATATATATATAAAATGCACATCGTGTGTAATTAAATAAATAGAAAAATACAAGTATGAACAATATTCTCTCTTTGTGTATGTAATAAAATGATGACTAAGTAATATAGTATGTACATCCACATTATTTATATAATTAGAGTTTAAAATATATATTCGTCGTAATACACATTGGCTCAATAAACTATACTATAAAAATATTTATCAGTCGTTTATATCTGATGTACATCTTGTTGCAACAAAATAAGTATGAAATGAAGGTGTGTACAAGCAGTTAGTATATAAATATACTTGTGAAAAATAGAAGGGCGTCACACGAGTCGCCTTATTAATCATTATCATTATAATATATACATATACATATATATACATACATATATATATTATATATATATATTATATATATGAAAAGCACCTTTGTAAAAAAGAAATTAGGGACACATGGGGATATAGATAAAAAGAACTGTAGATAATCTGCAATAATAAAGAGATTATATATTATTAAGAGTTTGGGATATATATATATATATATATAGACTTATTCTTTTGTATGCATAATTATCATCATACTTGTATCGTCTCTGTAAGATTCTCAAAAAAAAGCTGTAGCAACATTAATTAAATTCCATAATACCATATGTATGTACAGTTTGTTGTAAATCATCATCGGTGTGAAATATTTCTCGCGAGCACATAAGTTTCCTTTTTTTTTTATTCGCTTTCCACAGAAACATTTCCATGTTTATCATTTTATTAAAAATCATCAAACTACATCAAACGTGTGTTTTGTAGTACAGAATTGTTGATTAGAAAAACTAATAATAATTAGTAACATTTACTAAATAGAGAGAAAGAACCAATAGGTATACGTATATGTAAAAAAAACCAATTTCTTTTATAAAAATACATATAGGTTTTTTTTTTTTTAAATAGTATAACATATACATTTCCGTATTTCTCTTGCAAAAGAAGGATGTATTGATACCTTAATTAACACATTTAAGTATCTGTTGAGGAAGAAGTTTGTTGTGAAAGATGTTGTGTAGGAAAAGGAGTAAACTTGATGAATCTACTTTTCGCGATATTAATAGCTTTAGATAATTTTAAACCGCTTTTCTTAAACGCTTCATAATATGTATATACGTCACCGCTTCACATACATGTAGAATTTATTTTGAAAGAAATAAAGCCTTTGTGAAAAAAAAAAAGAAAAATAGTGGGAAAGGCTATACTGGCGTCACACGTTGTGCTGCTCCGAAGACCGTGTAGTGTTAATGGATGGAACCACGTTTCGAAGTTTTGAATTCAAAATTACATTTTATTGTATCTTAATATGGACTAGCATATATACCATATACACATTCAATAGCTCACTTAATAGTTTTATATAACTTATTATACACTCACAAACATTGATAAAGACAGTCATGATTTTATACTTTTGGTAGTATGTTTCATGACTGGTGAAGCTACAGCGCAAGCTCTATATATGTGTAAGATATAATTATTTTTAGTTCTTATGAATGGCTGGGTTGTGTTTTTTTTTGTTTTTTTTTGTTTTTTTTTTCATCAATTATTTCTCATAACGCGATTCTGACTGCAATTTCGGATCTATCATTCATACTGACTTTGCACGATCATTATATATATTCTTTATTTTGTAAGGCTTAATGATGCAAAATGTGCTTTGTCATTAAATTAAGTGTCTCTGTTTGAAAGGACGAGATTAGTAGAAATATCGTACAATGCTTGGAATTATAATAAATTGAATGACGAAAAAACTTCGTTCGTGTTTTTATATATGTATAACAACAATATGCTTATTGAAACTTTTTAAATGGAACAAATCCGCTAGATCTTTCTGCTCTCTCTCTCTCTCTCACACTCGTCTATAATAATTTACTAATATATAATATCATGTAGAAAAGTTAAAAATAAATTTTATAGAAAAAATTTATGCGAAGAATATCGATAGAATATATCAACAAATAATATTAAACGGTTCTAATATGCATTTATTTATTTACCTATTTATTTGTTTATTTATTTATGCTCTTAATATGCTTTTGGTATAAGCTACACTTTAATAATCATTTTTNTTTTTTTTTTTTTTTTTTTTTAGAATTATTCAAAGTAAAAATTTTTCGCGCGAAACGAGATTCTCGAGTATAATTAAATGACGATGCGATGTGTGTGTGTGTGTGTATGTGTGTTCGCGCGAATATATATGTAATAACGTGAGATTTCGCTTTTGTTTTGTTTTTTTTTTTAACAAACAACATATGAGTAATGACCACGCAAGGCCAGATTTGATAGTGCGCAAGTTGCAGATGATTTTTTTTATTATTAAAATGTAGCTAGACACACACATTCAGTCACAGGGTGGCTTGCGATGGCTGAGTATTTAACTTATTATGTATACATACTTTTTATTCTTTTTATTTATATTTATATATATATATATTCATCTTATTCTCTTAGTGTTAATGACTAGATAAGTTTTTCAGCCACCGAATATATATATATAACATCTTGTTTGATCCCATATATTATATTTTTCATACCGCTCTGTTGCTTACCGAATATATGGTTTAAAATTTCTATGCCAAAATCCATTATCCTTACGTACATGTATATATATATAATATCGCGATTTTTTTTTTTTTTTTTTTAATTCTATATTCTGGATGATTCTGGCAACGGACGATACTTTCTGCAATATTTATTAAATATTTGTCCACAAAGAATTGAAATTCTAGCCGACACACACGATGATATTATCAGTTCCCCACATGATATGCAATATCCGTAATATAATTTGCTATATTCTTTTTTTTTTGTTTTCAATGAAGTGTACATACATAATTTGCATTATCGTATGTATATATATATATAAATATATATATATATTTATACACATATATATTTTTCGAGACATTTCCCACACAACTATTCTCTCCCTCTTACACGCGCATCTTCGACTCGCGACGATCGCGGGATCTGTGTTTTTCGCTTTTTTACTAAGTAATAGACAACAAAAATTCTTATATATATACACGCTCTTTCATTCCTATGTTTGTTTGTGTGTGTGTGTGTGTGTGTGTGTCTTCCTGAGAATCGTTCTGTACGAAATGCCGCGTCTATGGCAAACGAGAGAGAGATCTTCGAAGAATATTAAATAATTTGAGAAAAAATCGACTTAAATTCAAACACAACAATGCACAAGTAAACACGACACACGTGTTCTGTCGCTTTGAGCGACAGAAGAGATGTCGACACGACACACGTTAAACATCAAAATCAAAAAATACCATTAGTTTATTTTGTTACAAAAGTAACGTTTCTTGTTGCCTGGGCACATTTGAAAAAGTATGCTGATATATATTTTTTACAATATGTATTTATGACACGCAATATGAACACATAGTAATTCATTCGACTTACATAAACTTTCTCCGAGGAGAGGATAAAAACAAAAGGAAAAATTCAGAATTTTGTAGAGTAGAAAGATGTAAATATTCAGTAAACGGTGCAAAAAGAGATAACTCACACACACAATCAAAGCCGAGCGAAAAAAAACTGTGTGTGATCTTTTCTTAATAAAAAAAAAAAAAAAAAAAAAAAAGAAAAAATCAATTTTTCAATTCGCAATAATCAAACAGATTTTGCACGTGAGATTTTTACTGAAGACTTTATGAGATTCTGAATTCTTCTTTTCAAATGCTCCGTACGTCTGAACGATATTCGGAGAAGCGAAGAGATGCATATATGTAACATATGCAAACTTAACTTTTTTTTTATAAATCAGAATATACACACAGTGTGTATTATTTTCAAAGAGAATATAGCGACACATTCTCAAACAAAATCTGAATAATTTTCCGTTCGTCGAAAATTTATGCACATTTTGTTTCTACCGCCTTTTTTTTAAATTTAATTTTCACTTAATGTACTTTGGCATCGAAATTTTATCAGACGTCAGGAATCTCAAATTTTTTTGTATCATATTTCCACACTTCTTTGATAATTGAAGCAGAGTAGCTCAAAAGTGAGAAATTTTCAGCAAAAATAGATAAAACTTAGATTATTATGGCATATATATATATATATATAGTATTTATATAGAAGAGAACGTTTTTTATTTTTTATTTTTGTTTTATATATTTTTTTTTTCATGTTTTTTTTTATTGTGTGTTTTCACTAGAGCGCGATCTCGTGACGAGTTGCAATTCAGAAACGTGTGAGCACTTCGTCTCACACCCGGGTTATAATACGCGTACATAGAAGTGAGTCAGTCTGTATGTATTTTTTTTTTTTTAGAAGAATTTTTTTCCATCTCGACGAAGAGAGTTACTAGCCAGGGAATTATTAGCTCTATATAGGATCTCTTATTTTGTATGCCTGTGCAATGAAGCAACACATTTAACTCGAATGTAATTTACATATTTTACATGTATTATACACGATAAAGTGAAGACTTACATTGCGAGCTGATATAGGATGCTGATATAGATTATAGGACGCGTCTATATAAGCCTTTTTTTTTTTTTTTTTTACGAATGACCACTACGTAACTAACTACGCTCGTGAATTACAAACAACTTCTTCGGGCGAAAATGAGCGAATTTGAAATTTTTAAACCTCTACGAGGTTTTCTTTACGAAACATCCGCGGATGTTTTGTTTCGTGCTGATAATTTGTATGCGAGTCATTCCGAATCGCGACCGGTCGCGATTTGGAAACACGAGAGAGAAATTGCTAAATCCGTGTGATGCTCGCATGCGATCCACAGTAGGTACAAGAAACATATATATATATATATATATATATATATATATTGTGCATGTGTCGCAGACTTTATTTAGATTAGATCGATCGAACCGAGAGAGAAAAAGATTTGATATTGTTTTTCGTAATGTTCCTTCGCGCAGAAAGACTCGGAAATCTACGAAATATATAAAAAAAAAAAAAAACGTATTGTACTTGAAAGTAAATTTGTTTTTCCATCAAAGTAGGCCGCGTTTAGTTTCGAACGTAAAGAAAAATTTCGACAGGGGAAAGTCGTACTCAATCAATCGATGTGAGAAAATCGGCAGCACGATAGCTTATATATATATAATGTGTATAAATTTTCGAGTTAAAAACTTGAACGCGATTACGAGATCGATTAGAGACGTCGATTGTTTATTTGTTTGTTTTTGTTTTTTTTTTTTATTAAAGTGCGTAAGGAGAAATGTTAAGCGCTTCTGCTGGAGGTATGAAAAGAGTAGAAGAGTTCTCAAGAGTTCAAAAATTTACAGAGAGAAAAGTTTCAAGCGCCATTGAAAATATGAGTGTGCAAAATCTTACATTTATGAAAAATCTAAAAACTCTTAATATACAGTTATGTTGTACACAGCCATTTCTCAACATTAACGCGTGCTCGCGGAAGCAAATGAACAATGGAAAGTGAAAAGAAAAAATCATTCGAGCTCAGAGTTGAGACTACCATTTAGAAGAAATGCGATAAAAAAAAAACAAAAATTGGTTCTTCTCTCATATTGGCATACACCAACATGCGATTCAAGTAAATTGTGCATTTGTGCAAGATATCGTATAATATTTGAAGCTAAAAATAAAGTTCGGGATCGTTTTTTTTTTTTTTTTTTTTTTTATTTCGTTAACTCGCCTAATTTCTTAATAGACAATAGTTTATTTCTGTTTTGTGTAAAGCGATTTACAAGGACTTTCGACTCGGAAAAAGGGTATTGCGCGCCGACGAGTGCGCTACATAACTACGGTACTTTTATATATAGTCTCATTCTCGCGGTAAAGACGGAGCGTTCTATCATAGAAAAGCATGGATAAAGCATGTGTACGTAGGCATACAAGATTCGCTTAGTGAACGATTGTTTTTTTTTCCTCCGATAACATGCAGGTGCTTTGCTTATCCTTGTCGTCCCGAAAGGACGTCTCGAACATATCGAAATTTACCTACTTGTTTAAAAAAAAAAAAATCCCTCATATAGAACATACTCTGTTGTGCTCTTCTATATAATTACTATGACGTTTATATTTTATCACGAGACTTTTTACGCATCTGAAGATTACTACGATAGATAGTTAATTTTAGTACAAATTAACACACCCACGGGCTACGCGCCCCATTCGCCGGCCTTAAAGATAAAAAAGATTAAATAAANANNT